CAAATACTTCATTGGTTATGTGATGGGTCCTTGGAAAAGCAGTGTGGCAAAAGCCTACATATGAAAATCCCCCTTATGTTTCCTCTGAAAACCACTGCTCAGTCACAATTTTCTTAATGTAATTCTCGATGCAAGCAATTGAGGAGGTATCTTTCCCTGCTGTGAATTACACCACAAATATAACTCTTAGCACCCATTATGTGTCATAATTTCTGACCCATCTACAGTGTTGGCAGGGCTCCCTGCTACTTTTTAAATAGTAAAGAACAAAATTTGAGTTGTCAAAGAGCTAGCTCATCTCCCACATCCGAGTGCCTCGTATGCCACCCTGGCTCCAGCTACCTATGAGAAGCAGGCACGCTGGCAGTGGCCAGCAGCTCCTGACATGGGTGCTAGAGATGAAGCTCTGTTTGAAAGGGCTCCTTCTGCCCTACATGTGAGGAAACCCCTAAACCTCCACCTCTACACTTGTATCGGTAAGCATGCTTCAGTAGGGGAAATGAAATGCCATAGCCTTGGTGTTCTATACATTAGCTATAAATGTACTTTTTTCCAGATTTTCGTCATATTCATAGCTGTCAATCTTACAAACTGAGGATGTGAAAAATGTGTAGCTGCCAGCCTTTCCTCTTCTGCCCTAAGGGTACATGGGGTTATCACACATACTGTTTCCTTTGTGTTTCATACTTAACCTTACCATGTTTTCTTTTGTTATTTCCAAAGAGATTATTTAAGCAGTTAAATAACTCTGTTTTCTTCTGGCAATATCATCATCATGTAACCTCACTGACTCATCACTCCAGATTCACACCAGAATTTCCACCATTTGCAAAATGAGCTCAATTCCTCAGAGCTTTCTTAAGCCTCGGTTTTATGACTCCATTAGATGGTGTAAACATCAAAGCATAAACCTACACTGAAATACAACTACTAGTTCAGAAGGGCAAAGTGGGTTTGATTGCCTCCAGAGCGTTACACTGCCAAAGCAGTATTTGCACCAACCACAAGAAGCACGCTTACAGGGGCAATGTTTCTCGTCACATGGCACACACTTCTGGGCTTATTACTTGGGGTTTACTCTGTTAAAGAAATGTTCACAAATCAATGGGGCTAATTCATGCTGCTCCATGATTTCTCTAAAAGTTGCCTTTGCCCAGTGCTGCCTCTCATTTTCCTCACCTTCCTTGGTTTTCTTTTTTTTCTGTAAGCATCTCAGTCTGAAATGCTTCTTGAAATAGTTAAATGTTGGGATTTTTTTTTTTTGTTGTTGTTGTTTTTTTTCCAGTGGTTTCATTTAAAATACAAAGAAGTAAAACAAAGCTCAAGTTCAGATGCTGACACTAGTTATTTTACACCAGTGGGAAAGCGAGATCAGAACAGAAAAGTCAAATTCATCAAGCAGAATCCCTTGTTGGATGGTGATTTGCCCACATAAGAACAATTGCACAGTTAAGAGACTGAAAGGTTTATGCAGATCTAACCCTAACTAGCAGCTGAACAACTGGTTCATTAAAATAATACTAAATCTTAATTACTAAACAAAAGTATAACCAACAGTTGAGGAGTTTCGACCAGTCAGCTTACACATCAGAGACTGATGAGAGAATTTTGCTAAGGCAAACTGGCTCAAAAGTCCTGAGCATTTCTAACTGCTTTACACTCATATTTTGTGTCCTTCTTGGCTCAGGTATTTGGATTAGTAAAATCACTGGCATCAAGTAAACATGCATTTCTGAGTCATGGCTAAATTAAAGACTAAAACTGTGCAGCTAAGAATTGAATTTTCATTCAGCCAATACCATTCAAAACTACTCGTGTAATTATTATGAGCACAAAAATTTTAAGTGCACACAAATCCTGCATAAAAACTGGAAAATTACAATCATAATTTATCTGATTAAAGCTGCTATTTCCAGCAATTTTGCAATGCACAACACTTCAGAATTGAAACACTATGTAATTAAAACTGTTAACTGCAAAAACCGGGCACTGTAAAGACTATAATTTAACATGGTTCTCTTTATTTGATCATCTGATTTTAAAGGTTAATGCAGTGACCTAGGAAGCCAGTGTGCCCATTTTAATTGTGCTGGCTTTTTGACCAAACACCATTTCAAAGGAAAAATTACAGGAAAAATCAGAGATGGCTTTGCAAGCCACTGCTGCGTTCATAAAACGTTCATAGTGAGAGAACACAAACCCAAAATCTGCTGACTTTATTAAAATATTAACTAGGTATAGTTAAAACTTTTGTACACTTATGCAAATCAGTTGCTAGAACAAGGGAAAAAAGAGATTCCCCTGGGAGACGAAAAAATTATAAAACCAACAAAGTAAAAAGATCAGCCATCCTTCCACAGCATGACAGCATGACACAAGAGGCAGCAGCTTGGGAATTCAACAAGATAAATAAAAACCCTCTAAAGTTTAAGTAAATCATGGTTTATAAAGCTAATAGATTTCAATGAGACACACGGTACCATTTCAGAAAGAGACTGCATTTGCTAGGGGATCGTAGCAGTATTTTGGTAGCTGTGCTGCACAGGTAAGATACGCCTAAGAAGAATGGCCAGGTGGGCACCTCTCCATGAGCTCTCTTTAGACGGGCAAGCTCCAGCAGTCTGTTCCCCATGAGGTACCAGGCACAAACATCATAGAGGTTTCAGCATCTACCTGGCTTTAGCACCAAAGGTATCTGTGTAATTTAAACCCCAGCCTCACAGCATGGCTCCATGGTGGTCCCTGAGGCCAGGTGGTCCCTGAGGCCAGGGCCCCAGTAGCGCTGCAGCAGCATGCCCAGGTCAAGAGCCAATCCCTCCAAAAGGTTTGCTGCACCTGGGCATGGGTTTGTGGAGGCTCAAACTGCTGTGGCCTCCAGTGCTACCAGGGAAACTGGTATGTAATGCCTGGTTTGCAGAACCTACAGCTAATTAATGTGGTTGTGCCTTGGTGCAGCCTCTAATTAATTATCGTCTTGAGTTGTGCCCATGTTTTGCTCTCATACTTCAGCAGGGAAAATTCTTTTACTTCTGACTTAACAGTGAGGAAGGAGAGGGGGTAGCTACCATTTGCTTAGTCTTTGTATGTTAATAAGTCTCTAAATTATTAATAGAGGAAAAGAAATTATTTACAAGGTGTTTGACGTAGACATGTCAAGATGTAGCAACACTACTGTCAAGAGAAATACTCATAAAGAATCATGATATCTGTCTTATTTATTCATTCCAGCCATGCTCAGAGACCCCTTTCTCCTGATAGCACCCAGGGAGGCATGAGGAGACTGAGAGACTGTTTAAGGGCAGAACAGACCATACCAAGGGTATACACCTTTCTAAATGCTGCACAAAGGTGACGGCTGCACAGAGAAATCAACGGCTTTAGCTTTGCTTTAACTCCTGTTGTAAACATACCTGAAGCTCTGTTTGAAAGAAGAACTTCTGCGGGCACTGGGAACAGTCATAAATTTTATCTTCCTGCCCGTGGACTGCAAAGATGTGCTGCTGCAGTTTGTTTGCCTGTACAAAAACTGAAACAACATAGTACGATTAGTTAAGATTGCTTCATATAAGGCATCTCATCTTGAACTTCAATTTTACAGTTGCAAAGACTCTGAGAAGTCCAAGGATATCTGCCGGGGAAGTGCCAATACACTCTGTTCAGCAGAATTTCCTTACAAGTAGTCAATTTAGAGTCTCCAGACTGGCAGTCAGGTTACTTCTAACAGACTCTATATGCTGCATGGATTTTTGATATTTCACATAAAGCTAACGCTGTCCACGGGTAACTGGAAGAACTCAGTCATGAGACCAAAGAGAGGACGTCACCGGTCCTGCAGGGAGCCCTGGGCCCGCGGCAGGTGCATCGGATGCATTTTTAATGCAGGACAACTGGGCCAGAAGAAGCCTTGATGGCTGGGGTCTGGAAGACACGTGGCCCAGAACAGCGTTGCTGGCAGGCATGTGAATCTGAAAGGGCAGGCTTGTCACAGTTTTTAGACCTTTTTAAATGGGATGTCCATTCAGTAGATATAAAAAAAGAAGATTCTGATTTAACATCACAAATATCACAGCACATACATTATGATTTTGAATCTACTTATTATTCTGACATTATCAAGTGAAATTTTAAGTGAAACAACATGCTTTAGCTGGTTAAAAATTATCTAATTTAAATTTTGTCTCATTTTATATGAATGATCATCAGCATCTGAAAATAGCTTCTTTGCTGGAATTAAACACATGCCCTGGAAGAGTTGTTTTAGAGCACATTTCAGGAAAGGATGAATTAACTCCAAGCTCACAGAAAAAGCAGATTCTTAAATTGTGTGTCACCATGAGAAAACTGGGCTGAGAAAGCAGCTGGCAGAACTACACGGTTGTACAATTTGGTCTAATCAAACCTTTACTCAAGTGAGCCTCACTATCATGAGTGGACCATGAGCTACCTAGCCTCTACAGGGTCCTTGCTAAGGGGAATATGAGCTTGGAAGAGAAGGTCCATACCATGCAAGTCTTGCACTTGGAAACACATTGCACCTTCAAGTCACAAGGTATAATTTAAAACGGTTTGAACTGTGGGGGTCGATGCAGAACCTGCCATGTGTGGCAGCGCTGCTCAGTGTCAGACACCGCAGTGCTGCTCTTCAGAGCAAGCCCCAGTTTCAGACAGAAAACACTTTTAACATTTCTAAGCACAGTATTTCTTTTTCCCAAGGAAAGGAATACAGTATTTTACAAATCCCCTGAGCGTCATTTCTGGATCTAGCCATGCACACTGAGGCTTGTCTTGGCCTCCCTGTCTTACCTGTGAAGCAAACAGGGCATTTGAATGTGCCTCCCATCCCCTCAAAGCTGTGCTCAATCAGGTGACACAGGAGCTTTGCCGGAGAGTCAAACATCTGGTTACACAGCTTGCACTCATGATTGATGCCTTCCTCTGCAAGGTTCAAATGATACAACTTGTTAGTGACACAGCAGATTAGCGTCGGGGGTGCAGCAGCAGCAGTTGGCGAGACCCATGCCGGCGCACACGACTTCACGGACCCACGGATGTTGCCGTGGCCCTGGCCTCGCCAGAGAAGCAGGCTGAGCTGCTCGTGTGGGGCATGCAGATGTATGGCCCCGGCACATGTCGGGGCACTGATTTTCAGCAGCAATGGAAGCGGTGCGGCGATCAACCTGCCGGGAGCCCCTGCGCCTGCTCCCAGGCTCCTGACCACACTGCACCACTCCACCTCGCATCCTACCACAAAGGGAGAGCATCCCTGCTCTGGGGATAGATTATTAAATAGCCAAACAGCACTTAAAATGGGTTTGACAGTGTGGATTCCACCAGCAACACTGAAAATGGGCTGAAATGCAGACTACACTGCAAACATACAGGAGAGGAAGAAAGTATCGGAGAATAGCAGGAATCCAGAGCAGAGTGTCAGCCTTAATTCTCTATCTCTTGGCTTTTACAAGGTGAAGAGAGATCACAGAAGGTAATTAAATATCATTTGAAAGTGTAATTTCCACACCATATATCTTAAGCATTGAATACACAGGGACTGTTTCAAATGCCACTATGTTCTAGCTAACTCATAGGGAAATAATAATTATTACTATTGTTTAAGCCTACCACTTCTGTAAGATGCTGTTTTTCTGTTTACTGAAGTTTGTGGTTCTGGGTGCAGCTGAGTCTTTTTTTTAGAGATAATGAAGCCACATTAAAGCAATTTTCACACATAAAATTAAACAATCTTTTGGTTTTCTTGAAGGGAGAGAGTTGTAGAAATTTAGACGACACAATGTACAGTTTATATAAATCACAAAACACATAAAATTTAAAAAGTTTGTGGATGGTTTCTATAAATACTTCCTGAAAATGTGCCTTTCCTTCACTGCGTCAGCACATGAACTTCTCACGAAAACATATTTAAAAAACTAAAGCAATTGTCTTTTGATGTACACTCAGCTTTATTTTTATATCTTCATATCACCAAATTCAATTTTTAGTTCAAAGATAGATGAGAAATGACTACATTATACCACGAACTAATCTCTTGCCAAATGCATTTGGATCGTGTGAATAATGCAAGTCTTCAGAAGGCATGGTCTTTATTTACAATTGCTTTAAATTAGCTTTTTATTTCTTTAAAGGGGCTAAACAGAGGGATATAATTGTTTTGTACAAGGCCTTTGGTACTCTCAGGATCCCAAAGCCCTTTTACAAGGCAGGGAGTCAGATGCCAGGTCAAGCATTATGGCGGGACTCTATGTGTGGGATGCGGGGCCTGTGCCTGTGCCTGTGCCTGGGCATGAGGTGGCTCTTGCACAGTTGCACCTTGTCACACTTGCAGGCAGAGGTAACTCCCAGAGCACACAGGGCTTGAAGGGCCCACCAAAACAGCGTGAAAAATTACAGTTTAAATTAAAAGATCCCCAGACAGTGTCTTGTGCAGCAGCACATGCTGGTGCTGATACTGGTGCTAGTGACACCTCGAGGCTGGGTGCTCTTGTGAAACCTGTGTAGCAATGGGTGCTCTGTGGTGGCATGCAGGGTGACAGCAGGGTCCTGATAGTGACTGCTGGCACCGGAGCTGCGGTGGGAATGGGTAGACGTAAACAGGTGGGTTGGGAAGGAGGTAAAAAGAGAAAAGGAAAGGGAGGAAAGAGTCAGGAACAGAAAGATGAAAAGTCTGGTGGCTCCACAGCAGCAACTCCTCAAATTCCCTGGGCAGCCATAACCAGGGACTAGAATATTTCTAGGATGCAACAATATTTGCAATTCTCTGCTGGGGCAGACATTACAGATGGGCACATTGCCCTTTCTAGCGGATAGGTTTCAAAATCCAATCCTGTCCCCTTGTTGCAGTGTAAGGCTGGCTTCTCCCATCGGATCCTGGCCTGGTAAGTTTTGGCTTTGTGTGATCTTTGCAATCTGCTCCGGAGGGGAGGAAAGATGGGGAAGGGATATGTGCCTTGTGCTGAGCATCCTGAGCATGCCCAGCCACACAGCTGTGTACAGTGACCAAATGCTGCAATAAACCTCAAAAGTACAAAGCAGGTACTGGGGGAATGGAACAAATTCCTTCTACAAGTAAATCAGAGAAATCATGTTTGACATTAATTTTCTATCCTCGGCATACTGGGTATTTGGAAAACAGTGATTCATGTACAGCCTGTGGTCTTGTGTGAGCACATGTTCATAAATACAGAGAGACACATACTACTGATCAGATTTAGGCTCTCTTTTTGCAGCCTAAATACCTATAATTTCAGTAAAATTAAAAAACAAAACCCAACAAACAAACAAAAAAACCACAACACCAACAAAGCTCAGCATTTCAACTGAACCAATTGAAGTACATTCTTACAAGCTTAGTATGTTTAATTAGGTAACAGAGACTGTGTATTTTCTTGGCTGATCCCTGCAGTACTTTAAATAGTTAAACCCATAACAAACAAACTAAAACTCGAATGAAAAATAATAAAACATAATGGGTTCCTGCAGATCTGGAAATTTATCCCACTCGAGGCAAGACCTTTTGATTTGCAAATCCACTTCTGAATTATAAGGCCTTCTCCTCACCGATGGGGGTTTTTATTCCACTCCCACAGGAGTCCATTATGTATTTCTTGTGTCTATAAAACCATCCAAGAAGAAAAAAGGGGGAAAAAAGTACCATGGTTAGCATGACAAACGTTTCTCTTTTCATGCATGTGTATTCAAAATATGAAAATGCCCAAAGATATAGATAGAATTGCTGCTATAATCACTCTCTCCTCCATGGCATTTTACAGCATATTATTTTACACAGAAACACAGCGCATGTATAGGGATACTCAGTCACCTTTGGAGAATAACTTCCTTGAATTATGTAAGATCATATAGGTACATGCAAGGTGGTTTTTTGACAGTATGGCGTGACACCAAGACTCCAGTCAGACGTGTGGCACTGGGCTTTAGCAACACAAAACATATAATCATTTCGCTCATTTTTATACCCCCTGCCCCCTTTTTTTTAAACATGACAAGCATCTATGAGAGACCTTCACAACTCAAGTGAATTATGCAGCCCCTCTCATTTGTAAAATAAAATGCAGATTTTTACAGCTTGCTGTGCCAGATCTTCTCCTATTTCTCCATAAATGTATCTGTGTGAGGATCAGTTGATTACAGGACAAAACAAGCAATGCACAGCAAATGAGAATCTTGGGTTTCTTGCCTTTTTTTTTCCTCCCAAGCTCTAAATAATAAGCATTAATTTTACACTTAATTTCTAAAAAAAAAAAAAAAAAAGGCTTGTTTAAAACAAGCAGGCCTGCTGGATTCTGTCAGGCTGAAACTATGTCAGGCCAAAAGAGGAACAGAGCGCTTTGTGTAAAAGTATCATGGGGAGATGATAGTATCCTGTAATGTTTTCAGTACCTACTTTTGTCTCCAAAAGCATTTGATCCCTGGCAGACACATACTTATTTCCATACTGGTCTTGAGGGAAGCCAGTAGGAATGAGAGCTGATTATCTGAATCCTGAAGGTGAAACCTGGGTGGTGCCCACTGATGTCAAAGGCAGGCATTTGTATAAATTTGGAGGTACATAATTTACTGCCTGTTAGCGAGGATTAGCAGGTTGTGCAGACCCAGCTGAATGGCAGAGGCAAAGCACAGTGCTCATTGTTCCCAAGTTCAGGTGCTTTTGCAGGATAGTTTTAAATATGTTGATAGGGTGCTTAGTAGCACTTAAGACTGTCATTCTGACCATTTTAGACTAGGAATGTGCTTCTCCATAAAGCTATTTCTGCTGCAGCAATGTGCATTTAATACATATTACAATGAGTCTCTAGGCCTCTAAGAGAACCGACACTAGCAGCCTCCTGGCGAGGATGCAGTATAATTAATAATGCTGTATTAAACCTATGTACTGTACCAGCTGCATTTCTAATTATAACTATATTAATGGCAATATAAAGGTACGCATTAATACTGTAGTGTACTGACACGTTACCACACCAACAACAAACAGGAGATTTGAACAATAAAAATCAAGACGGCATTGTCTTTACTGTTAGTTAAAACTTCTCTCTTCAACTTGATTTAATAAACAAAATTTTCCCTTATAGAGTAAGTAAGTGCAATAGTCCTAATTTGAGAGATCGTGTAAGACAATCTGATGCTCACTCCTGACAACAACACGTACATCCTGTACTATAGCTTCCCAGACCAGTAAATTTCTGCTTCACTGCAGCAAATTAAGGCAATAAAGGGGAGTATCTTTCCTCTACTTAGATATACATATCCAGGAGTTAACTGCACTTGTAATGAACTTTGAAATTCTGCAATTCAGTGTAACAAAGCATTAATATAGCATGTTACAGAGAACTTTCTCCTGTCCATTAGATCACAAATTTTGTGAAATTAAATAGGCTGTGTGCTCTAATTATAATAGAAATAAATAGAAATTGGAATGAACGCAGGAATATAAAATGAAAACTGCATGGAACTATTCTGTTTATGTAATTCATTTCCCAGTAAGTAAGTATGGAAAGGGAAAAATTTATAACATAAGAGAAGCAGGATCTTCTCCAGTAATTTTTTCCATGTGGCTGTGAAGGCATCAGGGGCTTGGAGCAGGGTAGGATGACAGTGATGGACACTCCCCTCCAAAACAAAGCCTGCAGAGAACCACTTCAACCCCTCGCCTGGCTGGCACCACTTCACTACTGGTTTTCATTAAAAGCAATCCAACGATGGAGGTAAAAGCAAGGTCTGGGAACGTGATGCATCTGCTCCAAGGGGATGGCAAATTTGCAGATGCTCACATTGGACGAAGATGACGTCTGCTGTACAGATGACATTTCTTCACTGCCATTGCTGCCTAAGCCCCTGACCTGCTATAGAAACCATTTGGACCACATCACTCCATTACAGCTTTGCAATTAATCCCGTAGGAC